GGTATTTCCATGTCATGATTTCGCATGGAATCAACAATATCTGCTTTTTTGTGTTATTGTTTGTCAATAACAACAAATCAATTTGTCCGCTTTTTAAACTATTGTTGACAAATTAATTTGCAGGTAGTGGTTCCACTAGTTAATTACCGAAAAATCAATTAGGATAATCATCATTTAACAAACAAAGTCCGCATCGGACCAAAAAACTTTGGGTATATAAACACCTAACCCTTGTCTTTAGATTCAGTATCAATTTGCTTCTCCTGAAGATGCTAACATTGTTAGCGAAACGCGCCTCGAGTGCAAAAATATCAGTTTGATATTAGGGTAATTGATCTCTAGAAAAAGTTTTCAAAAATCGGTTTGCAAAACCACTCACTACCTCACTTAACCCCACGAACACACGGCACTGATAAATAAATATTGTGAAACGGACAAAAAATTAGTTTTCAGTCAGTCCAGCTAGCGGAGCCTTTACTCCTCAACTACATTTGATAGCACGTTTACTAACTATCTAGGCGACTAGGGGCCACAGACAAAAAATGTTTATGACTGTACTCTTATTTTTATTGCCGTTCCAATTGGGCATGGATAGACTATACCAATAGTGTCCTTAACTTACACCTAAGAGTCGCCAGGAGTTGCTTCATTTTGGGAGACTCATTACCTACTATGGGACACGATATCGATAATCCGGACTCAGATTCGTATTCAGCGACTTCAGAAACGTTCAATTATAAACAGTTTCATTTGGAACTGAATATAAGCTGTTTTACCAGTGAAACTTTCAGCTTGAGCTCTTGTAGCTCGAAATTGGATTATTTTGTTTAAAAAAAATCTGTTTAAAATCTGTTTTTCCGTTAATCAGCTGTCGCCCCCATACATACTCTAGAAAAATATTTGGTCGAGGTAGGAATCGAACCCACGATCTTCCGATCGTGAGTCGGGCGCACTATCACCGCGGACAATTTCCCGGTTCGCACTCATCAAACTTTTATTTTATTTATCAAAATCCAACTTTTCTCTAACTTCAGTTGACTTGACCAAAAGAAAAGTATAATGAAACGTATACAGTAGTATTCATAGCTTGAACTATTGAGCAGGAATGATGTAAAACCCCCCCCTCTTAACTTTTGATCGAAATAAGTTATCGAGGTGGGATACAATTCACGTAAAAATGCATCATTTTTGGTACTTTTTCATGAGGTGTTGAATTACTTCATACCTGAGTCTAGATCCTACTGGTCGGTAGCTAGAGCTGTTAGTCAAAATTTACAAAATCCACAATTCCACACAAATGGATGGTTCAATTGCAACAACAGCCATAGAAAAAGCAAATCTACTAGCTGAAAAATTTGCGTCCCACTCAACAGTCGGTTTTTTGGGAAAGGCACCACCCACTATTACCACAGCGTCTAGTCAGACGAATTTTGTAACTGCTCAATATCAACAAGGCGTCTGGTCCTGATGAAGTGCCAGTAATCGTACTTAAAAAGCGCGCAAATGAACTCGCAGACTTTTCAACCTGTCTTACAAGAAAGAGGTTTTTCCTTCTTGTTGGAAGATTGCTCCCGTTCAGCCTATTCCCAAAAAAGGCAAAACACTCTTCTAAATAACTATAGACACGTCGCTTTGCTATCGGTAATATCAAAAATCATGGAGAAAACCGTAAATCACCATATCCCCAAATATTTGGAAGGCTTCAATACCTTAAGCAATCATTAATATATTTTTAATAAATCAATCAATAATATATTTTTAGGAGATCAACAGGCGACTTTCTATCGTATGTCACCCACATTTGAAAAAACGCAATCGAGAAACATAGGTAGTCAAGAGCTGTTGCGCTTGATATTTCCAAGGCCTATGACCATGTGTGGCATGAGGGTTTGCTGGTCAAACATCGATGCTATGGCTTGTCGGATCATTTTTGTGTATGGCTCTTCACGTTTCTGAAAGAACTTCCCATGCGAGTGACCGTCGATAGATATCTCTCGATAACTTTCACCATCAAAGCTGGTGTTTTTATTGTATATCAGTGACTTATTGGATGAAACCAAGAATCCAATATATTGCTTTGCTGACAACAGTACAGTTGTCTCGTTATTACATTTGGAATCCAGGACATCGGCTACGGATGCACAGATTCACCGGCAGCAGTAGGTTGAATATTTAATTAGGATTGAATTGGGGTGAAAGTAATCAGGTTGAATTCAATGCCACAAAAGCCCCGTCATCGGTTTTCTCTAAAAAGATAAATATTTCCGAACCAGATATAATAATGTCAGGTCAGACAATTCCGCTTTCTGCTTTGGGGGTTGAAATGGACGCCAATATGACACAATCATGTCGCTGGAATTGCAAAGGCAGTATCTCAAAAGCTTGAAACACTGTTCCGAACTAGAAAACTGTA